GTTGACATATGAAACATATATCTACTTGTATTTTCTTGGCCATCTTAGAGACATTCAACCTGAAATGCTGTACTATTACCTGATATGGTTTGCATCAAAGGATGCAAAAAAATGCTTTAAATGTTTGAGAACTTCTTGGAGGGATGCATCTAATCTGCAGTGATGAAACACTCACTTGAGCACCTCTGCTATTCATTTTCTAATCAGTCTCACTCAAGGCATATAGCCATCCTGTACAACACTGAGAAAGTCAGTGACACAGCATAAGTTCAAGTTTCAGTGTATGCCATGTATGTCAACATTTTAACAATTTTGGTGGTGTGAGTCAAAGAGTCACAGTGCAGAATGTGCTTATGGGGTAACTGCATTCAAACATGATGACAATTAGGATGGTAGGCACATCATAAAGCCTCCAGGAGCCAGAAGCCACAGTGCCATTTCTTTGCTTGAATTTGTGTAATTGGTGTAACTGTTCACTTTTACTCACCGTTTAGGGACATTCATCCTGCAATACAATCTACAGTCTCTGGCTAATTGACTACATCTCATGTGACAAAGAGCGACTTGGACTTAACTTTACTTAGTTATGTGTCAAGCTGCACAGACGAAGTTAGGTTGGGAAGGCGCTTGGAGGTCACCTAGTCCAATTCCTTGCTCTAAGCATGTACAACTTCTGAGTTAAATGAAATTGATCTAATTTTGAGGGAGAAGAGGAAAGGGAAAAGAACATGATTAGAACCGTCTTCATTTTTTACTGTAACCACAAAACGAAAGATGAGTGCATTACTGCTTCTTAACTGAAACTGCTGGGGCCTCTGTGGTGTGTGTTGAGTCATATGTATGAAAGGTATACCTGGAGCATACCCATTAAAACTGGTATTTCAGGTAACAGGGTTACCAAGATTGTTAATGTACAATTGGATAAAGCCTGAATGAGGTACTGAAAGATTCAGAGTGGGCAATAAGAAGGTAATATTTGCTCTGCACTAAAGTAGAAATTTAAAAGCCAGTAGAACGGCACCACTGAAAAGATAAGCATGTTGGTCTAAGTACAATCAGCTATGTAGCTGTGAGTCTGGGTCCTTCTGGTTTGCAGACATCTATATGACTAGGCAGTTGCTTTGAGAACCAGCCTGCTAAACTCTGCTGTTGTCCTGCTTTACGACTGCAATGCTTCTTACGTGTCACGGTTTCAGTTTCTGTGCTGCACCTCAGGTCCTCATGCTTTTGTGAAATGGGGATGACAGTGTTATACTGTCAGACAGGTATATGGCAAGGTTAAAACTGGTGGTATGCTTGCATAAAATGGTAAGGTGTACTACAATTACGTAAGGGTACACAAACACGCTTCCACTGTGGCAGGTGTCAGGGCACTCCCAGAGGATTGTCAATCTTATGTTTTCCAGATATGTTGCTATTCTGAAGTGTCTGTCCAGTAAATAGCAGCTGATAGTGACTAAATGCTGGTATATATGTATATACAAGCAGACGGATAGATAGATATTTCTTTTTAGGAAATGTATTGTTCACTATCACACATTCCTAAGAGGCAGAAATTATTTGAAACACAGCTGGGCTTGCACAGTGCAAAGCACATGGAATGTGCAGGATAGTGCACTTAATTCCTGATAAAAATGGAAGAACTGTGTGACAGAGAATGAGCAGAAGACTCCTTTTAATCCCAAAGGGACTGGGAATAGGACAGAGGTACAAAAGCAGAGGGGAAATCATATATTTAAAATCTTATGAAGCATCAAAATGCAGTAGAATGCATACACAGTTTTCCTCCTGGGAAGAAGACAGCGTGTTTGCTACAGCTGATGAATGTTGATCATATCACTTAGTGCACTGCTGAAGCCACTAATACACCACCATTAGCTGAGAAATGAATAGCATAAACAATAATCTGTATTTCTAGCAGGTTAAGACTCTAAGTAAACTTACTTTGTTGTAGCCTGTAAATAAATGTCCTGTAAAGGGAGAAAACCTTTTATTATTAATATTGATAATCCTGTCCACAGGTGTTTTTGGAGAAAAAATTCCACATACCTAATGGTTCATTCACATATAGTTCACTAATCGTTATGGTATGGGTGTGATTATATCTGGAAATAATGTTTAAGATTCAGCAACAATTTTCTAGTATTTTTATTCAAGTTTGTCTTTCGGTCAGAAAATAAGTGTCATTAAACCCCACATATATAATCCAGTGTTACATTTGTTTGTGAAGGGGCAAAAAACAACTTCACTATTTGTTTGTTTGTAAGCACAACCAGGAAAGCTAAGTTTCACTTGGTAATTCTTATTTTATGGATAAAAGTAGAAAATAATCTTAGTGAAAGCAGGTGTGCTTGCTTTCTTTATTTCTTTGAAGCTTTATGTTCTTTGACTTCCATTTCCCTTTGGCACAATTTTGCTTAACCCTTTTTTCAAGGACAATTATAGTAATGAAGATCTGCAACACTTATTGCTGAATTGGAACAGCCGAGCGGGAAGGGATAAGTCAGAATGAATTAAAATGATTTCATAGAGCACACACAAAGCCTTTGTGTTCTAAGGAATGTCTGAGTAAATAGCAGATATTTGCTTGCTGAATAAAAAAATAACACTAAACAACCTTAAAGCTCTCTGTCTTCCCTGCATTCTCAGTACCAAATGCTAGGATGTACGTAGCATCAATATATAGTTTTGGGAATTCAAAGCACCTCTGTATGTTGCTAGTTAGTCTGGGTTTTGAGTGGTTTGCAATGCAACATTTAAAAATTATGGTCATTCTTTGCGCGTAGATTTTTTGCTGTCACAAAGGTTCTATGCCCCTCACTTTCCCTTCCTGTTATAGTTTGTGTCAGGACAGCGGCAAAGACCTGAGTTCAAGTCCTGAGGTCATTTCCTGAATTCTGGCACTCCTTATGGCCAAAGATAAACACTCTATCTCTAAAGTCTTTATTTTGCCCACACAGTTTCTCGTTTGTTTACTGTGGAATTGGAGGTGCTCCTGGACAGCCTCCAAATGGCTGGGAGAAGGACTATTTTGGTCCTAAAATAAAGTTGGGGAGGAAGGACTAAAAGACATTACTGAGCAAGCTCCACTGTTGTTAACCCACTTTTTGTTAACAAAATATAAATATTTAGAGATTATTAACTCTATGGTTTTTCTTTTAAGATGGGGCTATTTTATACCTTAGTCTCTTTTTTCCCTAGTCTGTCACATCTGACATGTACTGCAAACTTGAATAGCCATAAAAGTCTCAAATCATCTATGTTAGGATCACTAGTAAGTGATCAATATATGTATTCAGACTACTGGGAGAGCCTGTGTACTTTTGAAAATATTTTTGGTAAGTATCTGACCCTAATGCTAAGTCATAAAATAACAGTTCTGGAAGCATCCCTGCTCTGGTAAAGAAGTTTATCAACACAAGCATTAAGTCTTTTGAGATCTGTGTGCATATATTTGAGATAACATAGTTTTAAAATGTTATAGATGGCATGACTACATAGCAATAAAAAGTAATTATTATGCATTCACGCATACCACCTATATCTTATAAAACTGGTGGGAAGGATTTTTTCCAATTATCATTCACATGCATGTATAGAAAAAATAGATTTTTCTCCTCAAAGCCATCAAAAGAAAGAAAATTCCAACACTGCTACATAAGCAAGATGCTGTGTGAAACTTATTATTGGTCATTGTTTCCTGAGTGTTGATAAACATTCTATGCACCAAGTCTACTAAATCTCTTAGGGAGATAACACACAGTTCTGAATTTTTCTGAAGTCTTTTATGGGAAATGTGTTGTAACACACAACTACAATTTGCTGTGGGTGAAAAACTGTGTGACCCCACTTTTTGCATTATCACTTTCTCAGTTCATAATTATAAATATGGACTGTAATGATACCATCAAGCATGCACGAGTTACCTGGAATTCATTCAGTCTTTTCCCATCATGGAATATGCAACTTAAATGTAAAAGCAGTGCATTTTAGTCTAACTTTTCTTCTTGTCAGACATGGACTCACTCTTTCATTTTTTGCCACATTTCCAAAATATCATTAATGATTAAATGACACTATTTACATGAATTAAAAAGTAAAATCAAAGGACAACAGAATATAAACCCAGAGTTAAGTAACACATTACTTATTCCCAAGGATTTTTTCAGTACTGTAGTTGTCCACTAGAGAAGATTTACATCATTTCAGTGAGATAGAAGAATTGTGTTTATTTTTAAAGAAAATCTGTGCAAAGAAAAGCAAGACCAAGAAAAAAAAAAAGCGTATATAAAACTTTCCAAGTACTACTGACAGCAGATTGTTTCACACCATCTCTTTAGCAAGTGTTTAAATAACATTGAGGAGACTTCTCTTTTATCATTTTACGTTCCTTGGGTAAGCATAAAGTGGTTGTAATGTTGGCTGTTACTTCAATTATATGAATATGGAAACATAGATGGAAAAGTTAGTAAGAAACCTCCCCCAAAGCTCCTTACTAATCCTTACTAATATTGCCATTTTTTATATATTTGCCAGTATGGTTTATCCTTCCAGAGTTTGTATATCTAAAAGTTTTTCAAGTTTTTCTGACAATGGCTGGTAAATACAAAGATCTACTTTACTACTTTTTCTTATTTTCAAGGATGAAAGACCATCTTTAATGATGTCAGCACTTAGATGTTCTTGCAGCTATTTTACACCTTCCGTATAATTGTTTTTGAAAGGATACTTTTTCATAACAGAACATATGCAGGTAAATCGAAACTAAATTATATCTCTTACTGAGATTGTAAAGCCTGGGAAACACACAAGAAATCTTGCCAACCTTTGCTTTTCCAACTATATAGCAGTGTTAGTAACTGTACTGTCCCTAGCCGAATTGCCAAAACGTCAAACTCCAAAAAAAGAATTCTGTAATGTGAAAATATCCTGATCTTTCACTTTATTTTTTTCAACATACACAAAGTAAATTCATATAAACTTCTAATATATGAACTTACCTCTGCTTCCCTGAACTTGGAGAGCAAGGCAAATGATCAAAAATATTAATCCAGTTCTCAAATGCATGCTGTCTATTGATCATTCACAGTTTTCAATATCAATCATGCAGGAAATAAGAATATTTAGATCAAGTAGAAAAATTTTGTTGTCTGAAAGAACTAAAATGCAAATGTCTTCCCTCTTGTTATTTTTCAAGTGTCCCCAGCCTTGGACTGCATTAAATTGCAGCTAGGCAAAGAGTGCAACAGGTGCTAGTATGCAAGAGCTGGACAAACCCTTCCAACGCACACACTTCTAGCCTGGGGGACTGGAGTGGTAAGACAAGAGTGACGAAGTTTTAAAAAAAAGCAGTGTCTGTTTCTGGAATAATCTGTTTATCTGCTGTTCAGACATAATCCCTCTTACGGTCCAGCTGGAAGAGCTTTCTTCATCTTATTAACCTTCTGGAGCAGCATCTGTCAACCCCAGAAGACTTCAGCAGCACCATGATAAACAACAGAAGTCTCTTCTAGTGCCCATTGCCTTCAAATGTTGATCCTTTGGGCATTTCGGAGTTATGGCATGTGAGCAGAAGCGAAATCACAGGGAGAGCTAACTGGTCATAAAACCCAGGGAGCTTCTTTTGAAGAGGAAGACAGCTTTTTCTGAGATAACATACTATACTCAGCTTTTCCACTGCATATGTCTTGGAAGCCTTTCTTCCTTCTCGTACCAAGAGTTTGTTGCAATATTCCTATCACAGCAGTGATGATGATGTTCTGTGACAGCAGTCAAATGATGTGACTCAGCAGTAAATCGCAGTACTGTTCAGGGCTGGCACAATCTGATGCCTAACTGGGAGTGGGGGAGGGAAGGTGCTGCATGAAGGGAGAATAAGAAACAGTGGATGGAAATGCTGTTTCAAGCACATAGCTATAACCAGGCCAAGAACTGACAGTGAGTGAATATGCTTTTCAAACAGCTCTGTTCCAGTTTCCCAAATAACTATTCTGGTTACATATTCGCCATATGTAAGTGTTCCATACTTACTTTTTATTTTCCAGAATGTTTTTTACTGTTGCATTACACCTAGAAAAGCCACCAAGTGGGCATTTGTAATGGTCTGTCCCCATTAGAGATTCTTGTGCAACTATGCTTTAACACAGGAAGTATCTAGACTGGCAGCAAGAATCTGTAAGTATAAGTTACTTTAAGAACAACCTTCATTTGAACCCAATCAGTATTCTATTTTTACTTAGGATTTAAACAATGGTAACCCCCCTCCGTTCCCGAGACTGCCTAATTTTAACCACTCAGACCAGTTAGTACAGAGACTGGGCTGGGACCAGTCAAGATCTGCTTTTTTTTTTTTATATTTTCACAATCTTTTTCTGATTTTCAGTGCTCATTTTGATGCTTTATGTATGTTGTTTCGTGCACACTGTTTTATTGTTCTAACAAAACAAATTAAGAATACCTTGCCAGCAGCACAATGCAAAGCAACAGTGGAGATGATCAGGATTTCTACTGGAGAAAATTTGAGTATTACATAAGGGTCATTCTTTAGCAGTACCAATATTTGCCTTTAAATATTTTATATATCATAATCATGGTATATAGTATAGTTACATAGGTACTACCTCTATTAACCAAGTAAGCTTTAGCATGCATTTATAAGCATGTTATAGTTGAAAGATGAAGTTCCCCCCAATAACTTGTCTTATTTTTAGTTGCTTTAGCTCTCTATCTGCAACAATTTGAAGCACAGGCAATTTTTCTGAGGCAGTGGAATTTGCTGTTTCTGGTGACATCTGAAAGTATAGGATTGGTGAAAGTCAGATTATTTCCTCAGAGCACCCTAAATACCAAACTCCCTATGGTATTTGGTAGGAATATGATCCTTTAATTCCATTAGGAATCTAGGATAAGCATCAGACTACATTTTGAAAAAGTGCAATAAAGACATTTACTTAATTACTATGCAGAGATTTGTTAGTGAAGTCTGAGCCAGGAATCAGAAACCCTTTATCAAAGCTTTCATTTAAAAATGTGGTTTTTGAGCCCTTCACATGTTGGAGAAGATAAACATTTAATAAAACATACTCCTATCTTTCAGGATAAAGGAGCAGGAACACCTAGAACACACAACAGTGTTGTTTAGTGTCAAGGTATAACTTAAGGAAAATATTGAGCTCCATAGGTCAACTGTGACTGAAAATTTGTACGGCAGGAGTCTGCAGACTTTGAGATGATGCTTAAATCATGCATATTTCAAGCTGTTTTCTGTTAAGGCAGTGCCTTCTATGTATTTCCATTTAATTATGAAATTTTGTAACTAACCTTGATAACTGCCACAGTGGAAGCAAACAAGAACGATAAACACTCATTAAAGCTAAAGTAATATTATCTAGGGACCACTCCATCTCTAAGCACTGTAGTGTTTAATTATAGGTCACTGTTAATTAATCTAGAAGTGTTTCTTCTAGTTGGTTTGCTGTCAACAATAATTATATATTGTTAAAGAAGTGATTAAAAATTTCTACTGAAATTCAACAGTGTATTAGAAATATACTATCAAGACATGGGAAGGGCAAAACTGTACGCTAAAATATCCATTCACCCAGGATAAGTGCTTGGAAATGGGTTAAATCAGACCCGTTAATGGTCACCTCAGTGAATCACTGGACATATCTAGAAAAATACACTGATATGCTGTTTAAATACAACTAAACCTGTTTCCTTTGCTTGCAGAAGAAAAGACAGTTTAGGCCATCAAGCACTCTGTTTAGAAGACTTTTGATGAAAATTGCTGGTAAGTCTGGGGCTCAAGACATTGTCACATAAAGGCAATCTAAAAGTTGCTGGGCATAGTGCTGAATTTTAGGTACCCTATGTAGCCAATAACAGACATCAGTGACCCAGGAGTTCAAAAGAAACTCAGAGGTTAAGGTTCGGAGTTGCTGACTGTGCAACTGAGTGTTTAAATCAGCCTCTATACCGAAAAAAAGAATTTTCAGAAAGGATTCAGTACAAATCTGGAGAATTTTACTTCAGCAAGTCTAACTTCTGTACTAGGCAAATTGATAGAAAGCATAATAAAAGAAATAAGCACAATAGCAAGAATGATCTGGCTGATTCAGTATCTTTGGACAGCCAACAGTTTTCAATGAGGTCTGCTCTCAAAGAAACTAAGCTGTCATGGAGTAAAAAGAAAAATCTTCTGTATTAATAGCCTGTTAAAAGATGAGAAATAGGGGGAAGAAATGACCATTTCAAAGGCTAGGTGTTGCCATTAGGTTTTATGCTGGAAGATGGGGCAAATGTGAAGGTAACAAAATTTCTTGATGGTATAGAATTGCTCAGAATTGTTGAGATTTACAGTAATAGTGAAAAGATGCAGACCTGTGTCCTGCTGCTGAATGTGGACAACAAAGCTGCAGATAAAATATATACATGTGAAAAAAATAATGCTATCAATGAACAGATAACTATTTGCTCTAAATTAGTAATAGCCATTTGGCAAGGAGAGTTTGAAAGCATAATTTTCTGATGATGGCAGCTCAATCCTTAGCCATGATCAAAAGGAGAAATAGAATATTAGTGGCTTATTAGAAAGAAATAGAATGTAAAGCTTTTTTTTTAATAAAATGGTATGCTGTGCATATGTAATTAGTTTCTGGTCCTATAATAGCAATAATACCTTGTGAAACTAGAAATGTTAATGGGACGGTGGCAGGTGGCAAAGATTTTCAGCGGATTGGAATGGTTTCCATACAAGGAAATTTTACACAAGCTAGGAGTCTTTGGCCTGAAACAGAGATGTCAGAAAGGTTAAGGAAATTATTAAATTGCTTAGTTTTTCTTGTAATATGAGAACAGGAAAATATCCAATTTAATTTTCAGGCATCTATTGTCTACTGGCTTCTTGAGCCTTTTATATTTTTAGTCTCTGCAGCTTGCTAGGACAACAAATTTTCCAATTTTGCATTTGGTCAGAATTTACTTTTATATAAGAATAAGAAGGAATATGACAAATTCATGAAGTCCATCAAGGAATGGGATGCACATGCTGTTCCAGTTGCAACCTGTTGCACAGTCTGTTAATCACTGGTTGTCAAACACTCTGAGGACAAGTTTGGAACTGGATTGCTTTTGCTTGCCTGTTCTTTATATTATTTCCCTATACATTTATTGGACATAAATGTAGATAAGATAGTAGGTTAACTAAGTCTTTGATCTGATCCAGCGTGACTACTGTTAGGCACTCAGCTGTACTCCCTAACTCAGCCTAACCTGCCATTAAAGCCAAGCTTACCTGGTAGTTATAACAAGTCCTGCCCATACTGAATGCTGCAGCAAACTTATTCATTTTCTGTGATTCCTCTCTCCTCCAAAACAAAGAGCCTGATGCTCTGTTCTGCAGTTGCAGCAAACACTGTGGAATCCTAGTCTGAACACAAAATTCAAGCAGGTGATGCGTTAACGCAGTTCTTTGTCTCCTTTCATGAACATAAACCTAGACCTCTTCTGCAATTAAAAGTTAACTCCAAATTTCTCTGGGGTCTTCAAAAAGCTTTGCTGTTTTGCTGTTACTAACACAGTTATGAAGTCCTAGCACCCCTCATTATTTAGAAAGGGAAAAAATATGGTGTGCATGCATTTACATGACAAGTTACAGATATATTTCTGATCACTGCTTGACCCCATCATCTGTGCTTTCTTCTGAAACTTTTTATACTGTACAATCTTATAAGGATTAATATATTTAGATATTTAGTGTAATAAATGAGATAAGGGTATGAAAAAACCCACAGTATTAACTAAGTAATTCAGCATAATTATGGGGAAAATACCACAGCCTGATTGCTCCTTGAGGATGATCACTGATAAACAAATTATGATCATGTTGATATTATATGATCTTTCTTTGGTATCATCAGACATCTAAATGGGATTAAAATGATTTCTTTTCTAGTGGGCAGTGATACAGCAAGCTGACCATCAGCTTCCAGTCAGTGGAGATAAAGATTAAAGTACATCTGCTCAAACAGATTATCATGCACTTGCATACCAGTACACAACATTCT